TATTTAATTGTTGTGCTTAAAAACACAGTTGAATATGCACACAAATAATTATGGTGGCGTTGGAATTTTTATGCTTAGCATGCATTTCATATATTTCTCTGCCTTCTAAGAACAAATCAGTTGACAAGGCAGTTTATATTATCAGTAATAGTTTTTCATCTGACTTGCATTTGGGACAGATATTATCCATTCTCTTTTCTGCTTATTTTTCTCTTTTACAGTTTCATATGCCTTGCTTTATTTTTTATTCGCCCTTAAAATGTCACATTTTCTTTCTTTTCTTCACCTCAGGTCAAGGGTACAGTATTCTGCACAGATGCCAATGGGGCATTAGTCGATATAACTGCAAAATCTTCAGCATACTTGCCTCTCCAAGAGGCCTGTATTCACAGAATAAAACACGTGGAGGAAGCTGGGATACTCCCAGGAGTACGAGAAGAATTTGTAATCATTGGTGAAAACGAAGCTGATGATAGCTTAATCTTGAGTTTGCGACAAATCCAGTATGAGCTTGCATGGGAAAGGTGTAGGCAGTTGCAAGCTGAGGATGTTGTAGTTAAGGGGAAGGTTGGTATCATCTTTCTGACATATGATCCGAAGTCTTTTGGTATCATTTTGAGCAATACCTTACTTGGATTAAATGGAGTGAACTGTGAGCATTCCAATGGAGTTCTCTGAGCCTGATAACTCATAGTGTTGCAGATCATTCACATATTATTCTTGATGTGCTGAATGTTGAAAGAGATAATTTATCTTTTAACCTATTTAGTAATAGCTCATAGTTTGCTTTCGTCATGTCAGATTGTTGGAGCGAACAAAGGTGGAGTTGTGGCTCTGGTGGAGGGGCTTCGTGGCTTTGTTCCCTTTTCACAGATATCAACTGTTAGTTTCTTCCATCTTGCTTTCTTCCCCCTTCCCTTGTAAATTTCACCTTTCTGACTTTTAATTGCAACTCTTTTGCTGCTATTTGAGCATTACCTAAGCTTCAATAATATATTGTCGTGTTTTTGTACAGAAATCTACTGCAGAAGAACTTCTTGAGAAAGAGATCCCTTTAAAATTTGTCGAGGTTGATGAGGAACAATCCAGGCTGGTAATGAGTAACCGAAAGGCCATGGCTGACAGCCAGGCACAGCTTGGTATTGGATCAGTTGTCACAGGAACCGTTCAATCTCTTAAACCTTACGGTGCCTTTATTGATATTGGTGGAATCAATGGCCTTCTGCATGTTAGTCAAATTAGTCACGATCGTGTTTCGGATATTGCAACAGTCCTACAACCTGGTGACACATTGAAGGTACTACTAATATATCTATCATGGAAAATAAATTAGCCTTTTAATACAGGATTATGATTAAATGCTTGAAAAATGTAGGTCATGATTTTGAGCCATGACCGTGAAAGAGGTAGGGTGAGTCTGTCCACAAAGAAGTTGGAGCCTACTCCTGGAGACATGATTCGTAATCCAAAGCTTGTCTTCGAGAAGGTAATTTATCCCTTTTCTACTCCTATGAACCATCCAGTTCTTTCAATGTGCCACATGTGGGATAGATTGTAGTGTGGGGTCAACAAATACCAAGAACCTACTCTGTATTAGGTGCTCCTGGGAGCATGTGCTCTTAGGCAATATGACAATGATTCAAGTGGGGAAGTATGGGTTTCCCTCCTTTCATCTATCCCTCGATGGTTGCCACATCATCTAAATGTCAGAATACATGCTCTCTAAGTCACTTACTATTTTGCTATGGGTACCTATATGACTAGATCTTGATTTGTTAAAAAAAAAAATGTGACTAGATCTTGACGTTTACTATATGTTGACTTTGAACTTTGTTCTCTTTTCACCTAAGAGGTCCTCTCAAATGAATCTTTGTGGAGGGAAAGGATGAGGAATTTCTTAATGTGTTGTTGTGGCATCCCATTCTGTTTAAGAATCATGTTTGTGATTTAAATTTTCTTGGTTTAAGCTGAAAGCTGAAAGGAAGAACTTTGAGAAACTAGACTAAATAGTTCCTTTGTTTTTCTGAGTTTTTTGTCAAAAAATAAACGTGAAAATATTGAGATCCATCAAACTTACAATCGTTTATGTCAATAACCAGGCTGAAGAGATGGCTCAAACATTTAGACAAAGAATTGCACAAGCAGAAGCTATGGCTCGTGCTGACATGCTTAGATTCCAGCCTGAGGTATTAGTATTACCTTGCATTTTTTTAATCTTAACATCAATTGCAATAATTTTGATCAGAACTACATAAACATAGTGCCCCTGGTGTACAGTGATCTTACTATTTAACCTGTTAAACTTGCAGAGTGGTCTCACTCTCAGCTCAGATGGAATCTTAGGCCCTCTAACTTCAGATTTGCCAGCAGAGGGGCTAGATTTGAGTGCTGTTCCGCCCGCTGATGAATCCTGAAAATATTTGTCCATCTTTGGCCTGTCAGTTTTGAATTCTGTATCTTAGTTTGTAATTATAATTACTGGCATCATATTCTTTACACTTGTAATGAAATCTGTCCAATCATCTTATCTGGCCGGTAGTTTTATCTTACTGTTCTGCAGATATTCTTACTGTTTATGTTATAGTATAAATGCAGCTAGTTATATTTGAGAGAGCCAATGGATCAAATGTTGCATTTGTTTCGGTACATGTTTCTGCTTGATATCTTGTTCTTAAAATATGTTCGATGGATGGCCCTTCTCTAGAGAGAGTATGAAGGGAGGTTTCCTGCAAATTTGAACCATCACCCCCTAGAAATAGTAAGCTCTTTGCAGAGCACATCTATGACTTCCCTCAATAGTTGATCTTATATATCCAGCAAAATATGAGAAAAACATCACAATCTTTTGTAGATTTCAATTAGCTACATCACCCAAGAAGTTTTTGGGATAGATCTCTTCAAGATGTAATTATTTTTATTAATTAATATACTCCCTTTGTTCCTTTTTGTTTGTCCCATGTAGAATCTTTAATTTGAAGATGGAGGAATATTAACTATTTACCTTTTTTTTTTAAGGGGTTTTATCTTTCTAAATGCACTTTTTCTTATTTAACCCTCATTTTTGCAATAATGATTAAGGTTTTTATCTTTTCTAACGTGCTTTTTCTTACTTTCTCTCTCTACTTTCCTTACAAATTATTGGGGTTTTTATCTTTTTCAATGTACTTTCATAACTTTACTTTCCAAACCTTAATTCCCTTAATGTTTCACTAAAAGGGAAAAACATTTAGGGACGGAGGTAGTACTTCATAAAATATATTTTTCTCATGTTTTGTATCCACATGTGTCTAACATTGATGTAAGCTGGCAGCTGTTGACTTTTACTAAGCTACTTTGTTTACTAAGACTACATTTACTATCATATCCAAACAATATGTCCGACATGGACATGAGCCAGTGACCATTGCCTTTTATTAGTTTATTAAAACCACACATAATAATGTATCCAAGCAACTTATGTAATAAAATTCCTCGTATATTATTCTCCTATTCATTTATCGTGCATGTTTCCAGACATAATTATTGACTTAATTGTTACTGTGATTATTGCTTCGTTTTTGCATTTTCTATTTACACAAGGGTTATGAAACCTAGAAAATTAAATCTCCTAGCAAAATCAAGAGACAAAGAAGTTGCTGATTGAGTGATAAATTTGAGCATAGTGATACTGTAATAAATATGAAAGTAGCCATAGATTATTTCAGTTGGCAAACCAATATAGTGAGAATAGTACTGTAAAATGGAAGAATATTTAAGCGGATACACCAACACACATACTGAAGACAGACCAAAAGAGTTTACTGTAATAGCCATAAAAGTTGTCGCGAGGTCTTGGACAGAGAATGAACTTGTCAAGCTGGATGTAGCGCTGCCATTTACAGCAAGAGATCATCTTGGCATGTTGGCAAATGAGTATAACATGGATCTTGTATTCCGGTTGAGTAGGACAGACCAACAAATGCATTCAAGTCCTTGTCGATCTGTACTCTGCAAGCAAATAAAAGGGTGAGGCGGTGAAGATTCAAATTATCACACAAAGAACTAAACTCTGAAAGGCAAGGTTTTGACTGAAGATTTTGACGTTAACAGCTGTGACTATTTTTTTCACTGAAGATTTTGACGTTATGCATACCCTATACTCCCTTCCAGCCTCCAAACTGATAAAAAGTAGATAAGATAAAATAAAAACTTTAAACATTATGAATCGGATTAACTAGTAAACAAAAGTATGCTCCACCCAATTATCAGGGACTAATCTTGCTGCAAAATGATGATATAAAGAAGTAGATACATTCTTCCTAGACATTTATAAAAGAAAATGTAGAAATATGAATTATGAATTAACTTTGGCTTGATTTCCATTAACACATAATCAATCAATTTATAATACAATCAATGAGATTTCCTTTCCTAAGTTAAACTCTAGGAAAACCAAGATAAACTAGGAAAACCAGATAAAAGATAAATCCTAATATTATCCAAATATCCCCTAAATATATCTTAATAGAAAAACACATGTATATGCAATGGAGCTTATATTAAAACTTAAAATTTGTATTCAGAATCCATTATTCTATCCGTAGCTAATGAGAGTGGGCATTATCCGAAGCTGCTCAAATGAAAAAATTTGTAGTTTGTTCAATAATTGTATCTAATTCATATTAGATCTAATGGCTGAAAATATATAATATGATCAATATTTCAATTTAAAGTCTGAACACAGGAAAGAAAAGCATTACTTAATTGACCAATATTATAAGTCATAGAATATGGAAAGGTAATCAGAAAATAGCATAACCCCTGCCAAATTGTGAGAGATTACAGTTCGCTACATCAATAGGTAAATGGGTCATAAGAAGTTGGTTCACCTTAACGTGGAACTAGCTTCTTTGAAACTTGATTACAGGTCTGGGTACGACGAATGTGTGCAAATCTGCTTTTCTGTATACTAACGAGCAAATCAAAAGCCTCTGAACCTAAGTGAAGATCATAACCTGTAATATAGAATTTAATATACACCATTAAGTCAAGTTTAGATAAACCTTATATACCATAATATCATATCCGAAGGATTATCTCCATTAGGTCGAATATATCACCTACATCAGCAATTCTGCAGAAACTTTGTTTCTTTTGATGGGCAATAAATTACTCATGAAATTGAATGGAGGGGATGTGTTGAATGTGAGGCCAGTCTTCCCCAGTGGGTTGTTGGCATCTTTCCTTGAGGCGTTTTGAACAGCAAAAGAATCGAAGTATCCTGAGGGAAGTCAGTTTAGGCATCCAATCATTAGTTGTTGTCAAGTTACGGAGGGAGTGAGAAAAGGATGGCCATGGCATGCCAATAGTGTTCATTCCCTCTTCTTCTCCCAATAAATTTACATTTGGGCATTCAGAGATTGTTAAATCCTGCAAGGCAGTGAGATGTTCCAATCCTCCAGAAATAACACTCCTCAATTTGCGGCATTTTTCGATTCTCAAGGATCGTAGGGAAGACGAGCAGCTACTGAACACATCCCCAGCTTCTTTCAAACTCTCCAACTCAGACGACATACGCAGCTCATCAAGACTCTGAATTACTTCTCTGGGAAACGAATTAAGCCATAGAACATCATCTTGCATCAGCCTGAGTTTGGAAATAACATTTGAAGAACCAGTAGTACTGCCACTTGCATCCGCCTTTTCATTCCCCAATTTCTTAATTATTTGGAGTCTTTTATTGAACCAATTGATATATAGTTCTACTAAGTTGGGACATAGCAGAATCGATATTAAATTTGGGCAATCTTCAATCCACAAAAACGTCAATTGAGGAAGTGGTATTGGTGCCATGCTGAAGCTGCTGTTAATATGATTATTATCTCCCACCCCCTCCCCTATATTTGTCCATCCTTGCAACTCTCGAAGGTAGTTCATAACCAGCTTTCTCAGGCGGGGAAATAATCCATTTGGATCACTGCCACCTGCTAATGCACTCTTTTCAAAAATGTACTTCAATTTCCCACACCCGATAAGGTTAAGGAATTTCAAATGACGAAGATTTCCCAGGCATGTCAAGTCCTCCATCCTGCAGCCGAAAAAATCCAATCTATTAAGATTAGGGAGAGAGGTCGCCAACTTATTTTCCCTAGCCCAACTCGGCATTCTCATGCCAACACAACTTTGCAACAATTATCCCCTGAGATTCGGATGTGGTTGCAGCTCTTCCATTAATCTCCTTGCTTCTTCATCATCAATCCCCGTACCATCAAAGTCTATTCTAATAAATTTGAGATGTTCCTTATCCCTCAAATATGCTCCTTCCCTATCTATATCTTCCTTAACTGCGCTGGCATTTTCAAAAAATCTGATTCTGACAGAAAGATCACCTTTCAGGCTGTTAAGTCTTTTTAGCTCCCCCAGTTGATCAAACCATTGCTTCTGACTTGCCTTTAATCCATCCACTACAAACATACTCAGCACACGAAGGCAACTCAACTTACTCAAGCCCTTTGGCATATTACTTAGTTCATAACAAGCCTTTATGTCCAATATCCTCAAGTTAACCAACTTCATCAAATCTTTTGGTAACTCTTTCAATTGCGTGCACATATATAATTTCAATGTCTGTAAATTATATAACTTGGTAATTGATTGCGGAAGCACATCTATACCATTGTATGAGAGATCTAAATATCTTAAATGCAACAATTCACCTATTGAGTAAGGCAAACATTTTATACCAGACCTACTCAAATCCAACACCCTCAAAAACCTCCAATTTGCTACTAATGCCTTCAAGGAAGATTCGTCAATCCCAACAGGAACATACCATGAACCAACATCCAGAAAGGAACGAATGTGGGTCTTAGAAAAAGAGTATTGCAAGGATGTACTTCGTACATGGGAAATATGTCGGACTTCTCTATCCATAATGTCTGTTACAGAATTTTTATAACAAATTTTCTTCCCTGCTACATTTTGAGCAATATCATGCATTAGATCGTGTATCTTACACGAAATAATGTCACCATATTCATCATGCTTTACATCTTGAAAAAAACATCTCCGCATCAGAATAGTAAAATACTCCTCAACAGCATCTTCCAACCTTTGACCATCATCTAACGGAACAACGTAGCCCTGTGCCAACCAAAGGCTTATCAACAACTCCTTCTCTATGACAGTGTCTTTTGGGAACAATGCACAGTATGTGAAACAACTTTTGAGGGGCAATTCAAGTTGATGATAACTAAACATGAGTATAGGCATGATGTCCTTTTGGCTTTCTCTGAAGTTGAATAACCCAATCTCCTGAAATGATATCCATCTACTCTTGTCTTGACCATACAGAAGACTCCCTGCCACTCTTATGGCAAGAGGGACACTGGCACATCCTTCAACAATCTCTCGGCCAATCTTCAACAAATCTTCGTGAGGGCTTAATTGTTCTGATCCAAATGCTATTTTCTTAAACAAGGACCATGAATTCTCCTTTGACAACCCTTGGAGCTCATATTTTTTACCACCCCCTACAATTTGGGCTGTCTTGTGCGACCGTGTTGTTACCACAACCCAACTTCCCCTCTGGCCTCCCAATAAGAACTCTACAAGCTTAAGCCAGTGGTTGCGATTCTCAGTCCATACATCATCTAAAACAAGCAAGTATTTGCTGCCTGATAATTTTTCTCGAAGTTTGCTTTGTAACCTTTCTATGGTAGATTCCTCATGCGTTTGACCAGTTGAAGCATAAATCTTACGAAGTATACTTTCCACATCCAACTGCACCTGATCATGATCAGAGACACAAGTCCACAACCTCAAGAGCAGTTTTCCCCATTCCTCCGATTCCCACTATAGTGAGGAAAGAAACATCTTGTTGAATGGTTGAACAATTCAACAGATGACCTACAAGTTCCTCCAAGTCATCCTCTCTCCCAATGATACTACGCTCACAGATGTAAGAACATGTCTCCTCCCTCCTCCTCCTGATAGGCTGAGGATCAATACTAATGCCAAATTGAGAGTGATTTTTGGCAATAGCATCTAACTTCCTCCGAATTTTCTTAACCTCTTGGGACATAGAGTGAGCTATCTTAATAGGATTGTAACGAGAAAAGAAGAGACTCACATTTTTGGAGAGTTTCTGACCCTTGATGAGCTGCTTTTGCTTAACAAGAGTGACGAACTCATCCAACAAATCGTCAGCATCATAAACAGCATCCTTGAGCTTCTGAATCCAGAGTTGTGCTTCAGAAGAAAGCTGGTCCTGCTTGATCTCAGCATCTTGGAGCACAGCCTTGACAGTGGAGACAGTCTCTTGGAGGTCTTCAAGTTGGGATTTATACCCAACGCCAAAAAAGGAGCTCAATTCTTTGAGCTCCGAACATTGAAGAGAAGCAAACAGAGTTTGAGCAACGGACAACACGGTTCCAAGATCCATATTTTTGGTTTCAGAAATGAGCTCAGACAATGAAAGAGTGTTTGTTATGGCAGATATTACTTGAAATGGGTTTATTTTATAACCACACAAATGTGATGGAACCGATAATGTACTTTAAAGGCAAAAGGTGTTGAAACATTGTCATAGATTCATTCAAATAATAGAATGATTAGTATAAAAATGCAAGGACTATTGTATAGTTTGATTTCATGTGCTTAGTTTAAGTCTCGTACTAGTACCTCCTAATTAGTGTATTGAGTAGAGGCGTTCCAAACGGAGGGTTGCGAAACATTAAGGCTTGTCTCGCAGGGGCAAAAGGGTCTTTTAATATCTATTTTGAATTTTGCCACCTGGATTCGCCGTTTCGAGGTAAAGCATCCCGTTATGAAAAAAGTTGTCTCATATGTTTCTCTCTCCACCAAAAAGTAAACTCGATCTCTGTGTTGTCATTCTCTCTCCTTGACGGTTTTCTGTATCTCTCTTCTCGACGAATTCTCTATCTCTCTCCTTAGCGAATTCATAATTTCTGAGCCTCTCCCCGCATCCATCTCCAAATTGAAGGTAGTGAAGCAGTAGAAAGTGTTCGAAATTGTACACATACTCCCTCCATTGTTGGAACAGGTACATAATTAAATGTTTAAGTGTTGAAATTTGAAATGAAAAATTGGGTACCCGAATTATCCGGGACGGGACACGGGCCGACTTATCAACTACCCGAAGATCCGGGTATTCAGATTTTCGGGTACCCGGATCTGAACACCCCTATGATTGTGAACCAACTCCCTCTACCGAAAATGGCTTCAACTACTCTTACTAACATCACACAAAACTTGAAGATTACGACACAAAGTTAAGGCATAGAGGAAACTAGAAGAGTTTTGCAATTAAAGCCAAACTAAGATGTATAGCATTAAGAGCAAACCTAAAGAGGTTTTTAACTTTGACCCAAATTATAAACCATGAATAAACTCGAAACAAAAACGCACCCCCAAGCTTGTTTAATTGGTAGGGCGGTGGCTATTCATCACTTCTTTCTTTTTTTTTTTTTTTTATTTTATTAAACTTGAACATTTAGATCACAAACTGCTAATTACGATAAACAAAGGAAAGAACTAAAGAAACAAGGAGGGCCTGCCTTAACTTTTTTTTTTTTGTTTTTGTTTTTTTTTTAGTAAATAAACAATACATAACAACCTTCATCAATACTAAGAGTAGTTTACGCCGCGATCTTGGGAATTGGGACTCAAGTTCTTGATCTAGGTACTAAATCAAAGAGGATCCTTGCCACTCATTCAAAATGTAGTAGGCTTGAAAAATATTTAAACCTCACTTTCAGGAACAATGCGGGATCAAATACTACCTTTCGGGGTTCAAATTCCTTTGATATGCGCGGCACCTTCTTACCACAATCCTAGACTTTAGGTCTCGTACATTCGGTAAGGTTATTCTCACACTAGCCTAAAATAGCTAATTCTATGTTTAACCAAGGGCATCTAAACCATGCTCGAAATTTTATTACCAGAAGAAAGCAAGTATCCATCACATTCAATCCAATATCATCATTGAGGACTAATCTAAAACCAAAAAGATTTTTCATTTTTTCATTTTTCAGATTTTTTTTTTAAAGGAGATTATAAACAAGAATAAAAGGGGAGGAGGAATTACCATTGACCTTGGTGTAGTCATATCTTTCATATATGCAAGATGATAAAAGAATAGTAATTAGTAGTAAAGCAAATAAAGAATATCATGAGTGGATCATATAGATAAGAGTCAAACAATCATTTCACAATTCATTGATAAGCTATTACTTGCAAAACTAAGGCAATTATATCACATGCTTACTTGAATTCATTTTACCATCAAAGATACTAATCAAATCACCAAGTCAAATGACTACAAGCAAAAACAATATATACAAAGTCTATTCTAAAAGATTTTTTTTTTAATTTTTTTTATTTATTTAATTTTTTTTTTTTGAAAAATTAGGAGGGGAGAAATGGAACTAACTAAAAAATTTGGATTATGTGAAAAGGAACTAGCTAAAGAAGATTAGGAGAGGAAAGGAGGAGATAACTAATGAATTTGGATTAAGGGCTTTGGATTTTTGGGTTTTGGATTTTTAGGAAAGAGAGGAGGCTCATCAACAAACATCATCATCAATGGGAAGCACATAAACCAAACCAAGTTCATTAAAATGCAAACATTCAACCATTAATTAACCAACCAAGACAAGCGGAGCATAATCAAATTAAGCACAAAACTAACAACACCAAATCCCAACTCTATACAAGGCCTAAATGTTCCCCCAAGCTAGACATTTAATTACCGTTTCAATGAAAGAAAAGAGGCAATGACAAAACCTCCCCCAAGATTGGGATTGGCACCATCCTCGGTGTCCCAAGGATTAAAAGGGGCAATGAAACGGTAAGTAACATGTCTAGATCATCTAATCTTACCGGCGCCCTGGTGAATAATGAAAGTTGTAGTTAATATCTACATCACTAGGAGGAGCCGAGGCATCTACATAAGGAGGTAGATCATAGTTGGGACAAGTACAGTAGTGGCTAAAATCCGGCACGCCTTGGTCACCCCAACCACCATCATTATTAGGGTTGTACATAGACCTGAAAACTGACCTGAACCGGACCTGTTTGGACCGAACCTGATCCGGACCTGTAGATTCAGGTCCGGTCCCAGTCCTTGAAATTCAGTGATTCCGGTTCCGGTCCAAATCCGGTCTAAAACCGTGGGGTTTCAGGTCTGGACCTGAAACCCGGTAAAATTGAGTTTTAAATTTTTTTTTTTTTTTAAATTTGAATGCAGCTTTTTTAGTTGTTTGTAACCCTAAAAAAATAACTTCAGTGCTCAGCCGTCACTGCTCTTCTCTCATTTCTCCACTTCTCTTTATCTTCTTCTCCTCTCAAAGTCAGAGGTAGTGCTTCAGCCGTCACTTCAGTTTTCAAATTGATTCCAACAATTAAAGAACTCATATCAAAATGAAGATCTAGTGAATTATTTACGCTGCAAACAGAGTGCTCGAGATCATCAGTGGATAAAGATAAATCGTGGGTGCGGCTAGGGTTAAGCAGAAGGGGCAGTGAATCTTTCGGTTTTGTAAGATCATTTTCCAGATCTGGTGGAAATTTGTATTTTGAATGATTAGAGGGTTCCAGTTTATGGAGGAGAGATGCAACAACATCAGAGAGTGGAGGATTGTCCATCGTCTCACAGACGATGAAAACCCACAAATGCAGAAGAAATAAAAGAGGGTCGGCAAATGTTTGATTTCTTTCTTCATTTAACGCAGATGTCTTCAAAATATTTTTGGGTTGTTGAGCTCTTCAACAGTATTTTACTCATAACCTATTCATCTCCACTCTTTTTTTTTTTGTTTTTTTTAGGATAATCTATTCATCTCCGGAGAAATTGTCTTATTTTTGCCATTATTAATGCAGCTTGTTATTTCTTATCAGTTTTGGTTTATGCTTGTTGATTCTTTGCTAATTAGAAGTATTATTTTATTTTTATTTTTTACTTGGAATTTTTTTTTCTTGATATTTGGATTATTTTAAATTTGGTTAAAATACAAAACAAGTCTGTTCAGGTCCAAACCCGGACCGGACCTGATTTTTCAGGTCTGACCCGGAACCGGACTTGTTGAATCAGGTCCGGTCTCCGGTACTCAAAATTCACTAATTCAGGTCCTAGTCCCAAGAGGTCCGGTCCAGGTCCGGTCCTGTTTTGGACCAATGTACAGCCCTAACCATCATAACCGGGTGGAAACCCGTAATACCCCCTTAGGGGGGGATCAAGTACCTCCGTAGATGAACTATCACTAACAACCTCGGGGATGTAGTAATAACTAAGGTCACCCCTATAATTACTACATCCGGGTTATGTGTAGTCATAAGGGGGATAGGAGCAAAGCTCTCCAATCGAGCTACACGGGCCTTGCCAAAAAGGGTAGGTGGGTTGGCCATTGGACCAACCTAAAACCGGACCTTGTTGAACGAGACGGTTGGGATAGTTGAGGTAAGGGAGAAAGTCTCCCCTGTCAACTTGATGTTGATAGTTTCTTTCCGCCACAACTTTGATATTCATTGTGTTCTAAAATTCTTTGGTTGGTTAAATTTAATTGGTTGAAAGCATTTTCGGCATCAAAGAGGGAAGAGGATAAGGAAGAACCATCTACCCTAGATTGGGAAAGAGAGGATGTACCCATACGACGAGGCATTAGTGCATCCTCGTCATCGTCGGCCATAGCTCGTCGGGGTGGATCACGTGGCACATGCACGTGTCCCCCACGGAGTTAGTGACCGCCACATTTAGGAGAGTGCAATAATGCCTCCCATTGACCTTCCAACTAAAGCGACGAACCCGACTCGGAATTTCAACAAGGAACTTCATATCATAAAGTCCCTTGATATCAAGCAAGTTAGAACCATGGATCGGGGTCATTTGGTCTATAAAAGCACCAAACCCCAATTTCCTCGCTATAATCGAAATCATCCCCCTGCATCTAATCTCACCACTCATCTCTCCATTTACCCTCATTTCCATGCATCTCTTAATGAACATGTATCCCATGTTCACGTTCCCTTCCACATTTCCTTCAAATCTTGTGGCTATGAAGAGGCCTTTGATCTCCTCTTTTGTTAGTTTCCCTAAGTCTTGCTTAGAGAAATAAGCATAGCTCATGAGTCTCATGAAGATTCGAAGGAAGGGGAGAATAATGTGGCTAGCATGGCTAGACCGGGTCTTGAAATTGAAATAACCTGCAATGGTGTTCAACCAAACTTACTCCTCATAGCTTGAGAAGTAAGTACCATTGGGGTTGTAGATTTGGTTGAAGGTGGTCCATTCGAAAATTTCTTTCGATCTCGTTAAAGTTAGGACCCTCTTGACATTGAACATCGTAAACTTTATCTCACACTCTAATGGCTCACCTTCTAGGTTTATGTGTTTCAAAGTGACCGATGAGAGGAATTCGAGAGTTA